CTCTGGTAAAACATGGTGGAGCAGATCGTCTAGGGACTATCCTAAAACGTGTCAACTCGAGAGACGGCTACCTAGATGGGTCGACACATCTATGGAAAGCAAAATGCCCCCCCCCCCCGTCGATAAACTGCGCCGTATCTGGATGTACCACCTACTCCAAATATGCTCCTGTCACTTTTCTACTTTATTCCACTTTTTTTATCGGTTGGTGTACATTCGCAGAAAGCTATCCTTTCAGCTCCATCGGCGTAAATTCAGCGATTTAGAGGCACACCCGCTCTTATGCTATACGCAGACGCGTTCTTTCGACACGATAGTGGTAGCTAGGCCACGGCTCCGCCCACTGACAGTGCGACGCCCAACTTTTAAGAGTAAGAGCTTCCTGGTGCGGTTGTTCCGCTGCTCGATCTCCCCATTTCGAATGATGAGGGTGAAGTGATAAGGGAAAAGGCTGAAAGGATTATAGTTACAACTGAGCACTCTTCCGACCATGCCCTCCATTCGAATTATGCAAAGCGCTGTTGAGCGTGGGGTTGCCTGGGCATAGCTGAAGATTTTTCCTGCTTTTCTCTTCTTCTTTTTTGTTTTGTTTACCATCTTGTCAATAGTATTTGAGTTCCACTGATTACCATTTTCGAACGCGGAATGTGCCTTCAAGTTTTACTTCTTTTCGCTATTTACAGTTACCATTTTAGGTTGGTTTAATGACCAGCAGTGGCCAAGGTTCCATCACATGCACTTACACTTTGTCGGACCAGTTAGCTCGATACACGACCGCCGATCGAGAACTTCTGAGTGTAGAAATCCCGATTCCTCCGCCTGAATATTATGATGTCGACGAATATGTGGCCGTGTTCGGTGGAAGAGGACTGCTTGATGTTGTTGACGAAGTGGGTGGGTTGCCCTTAATACAGTTACAAAAAAAATCGGCTCAGGGGTGGGGGGATTGTAAGACTCTTCGGACCAAACAGGGACTATTAGAATGGAAAACTCTTTTTGTACAAAGAAATTACTTACAAGGGAATGGTTTTTGAACTTCCCATGGAACTTTGAATGGAGACCTAGGTACATCGATAGAGTCCTCGAATGCTGATTACGAATATGCAGATTAAAAGTGCTACGGACCTCCCAGACGAGTTCTGGGCGGTCAAAGTTTGCGAAAACTCGGTTTTGTCTCGTAAGCGCTGCTGATCGGTCGCTCGGCAGTGCCACCATGGCCTAGTGGTAACGGTCTCGCTTCAAAGCTTGTGGGTTTGCATCCCGTTGGCACCAACATTTTTGCTTTGTCTCCTATTAGAGCTTTTCGAAATTCCTCCGAGTTTACGGCCCAGCAGAGCAAGTAGATCAAGTATATGACGCAGTCGATCGAGTATTGATTGATCACTATCTGTCCTCTCTGAACTCATTACCCATCCGACAATTCGAAGTTTTGGCCAGAATCACAATTTGGCCAGAAACTCGTTTCTGGGGTATTTTGACCCCCTGAGCACGAATATCACATCCGTTTGACGCGAAAACGATCGGTTCCCTCGTTCAGTTGATGACCACAACAACATGAAAGGCTACAAGCGCTTCTCGCCAAACGGACATGATATTCCTTTTCAGGGGGTCGAAATACCCCCAGGAACGAGTTTCTGGCCGAAACTTCGAATTGTCGGATGGGTAATGAGTTCAGAGAGGACAGATAGTGATCAATCAATACTCGATCGACTGCGTCATATACTTGATCTACTTGCTCTGCTGGGCCGTAAACTCGGAGGAATTTCGAAAATTAGAGTGAAAGCTCTAGGAGACGAAGCAAAAATTTTCGCGCCAACGGGATGCAAACCCACGAGCATTTGGCTTTGAAGCGAGACCGTTACCACTAGGCCACGGTGGCACTGCCTGATGACCGATCAGCAGCGCTTACGAGACAAAACCGAGTTTTCGCAAACTTTGACCGCCCAGAACTCGTCTGGGAGGTCCCCGTAGCACTTTTAATCTGCATATTCGTAATCAGCATTCGAGACTCTATCGATGTACCTAGGTCTCCATTCAAAGTTCCATGGGAAGTTCAAACCATTCCCTTGTTAGTGACCCCGGAGCTTCTTTCCTCATGCGCTTAGGCGAGAAACTTCATCTACTACGTTCTCTTCTATTTCCTTCATCTCTTTTTCTTTTCATTTCTAGACGCAGTAGCAGTTCTGCGCAAGAATTCTTTCAAACGCATCCCCCTTAGCCGTCTTTTACTCATCTGCTGATAGCAGTCATTGCACGACACTGACCTGTGCTCACGTAATGGCTCCGTGAGACGGACAAGACAATCATAATTCGTCGCGTCACCGCTCGCGGCGCATCGTCTTGTGTCCCCATTGGATCAGCGAAATTTACAAGAATCCAAGCAAGGACAAAACACCGCTCGCCACGCCCACCAGCGCAGCACATTACGATTGTCTTGTCACATATCTGATCTGCGAACATTGGAGGCGCATTCCCTGCTTTTTCTATGACATTACTGCTTTGATTCCCACAGCTGTTGAGGCTCCTGCTTTATCGATCTGATGTCATGCTTTCCTTCTGAAAAGTTTACTGGTTCCATGTACTTTTTTTCAAGAGTTGCGAAAGGAACTAATACATTTCATCCGAGACGAGACACAAAAGTATCAGGACGAAAGAGATGATGCTCTTATACTGGAAGCGTTGGAGTCTGGTTTTGAGTTGCCAGACATGGATAATAATCAGGCTGTGAGTTTCTAGAGTGGATCTGGCTCAGTTATCTTCCGTTTTTAATTTAATTTATTTTAAGTTTTTAATTTAGTTTCCCGAGAGTTCAAGAACCTTACCAAAACTCGGACTTTTTTAAACTTTTTTCCTAAATTAGGTTTAGGTCATCAATTTTGCTTCAGTATAGGCTCTCTTACTCCTTGTATATGCCAGATTGTGGTGGATTCTTCCGAGAATTTTGCCAACAAATTTTCATTTGTCATGCAAAATTCCTCTAGTTCGGAGTTGGCTGAGTTAATGCGAAGGCAAATCTCCATGATAAATGAGGTAACTCTTCATCCGTCTCGGTCATGAATTAGAAGTTTTACTTTTCATTACATTCTGAGACTTTCATAGCTGTTTTTGTTTAGATGAACCAAATCATTCGAGTCAGAAATTGGGAAGTGACACAGATGAGAAATAAGTGCGAAACTGCTGTCAATGATGCCTCTTCCAATGTGGATGTTCACCCACATGAACTTAGTAAGCTTAACGAAAAGCTCAGAGTAAGTTTTCTATTATTTGTAGGGCTTTCTTACTCATAATTGTTCTTTTCACTAAAACTTCATCACTCGGGTTAAAGGAATTCGTTTAGAATCTTCATGCTTCCTATGCGTGCCAAGTAGAGGGGCTCAGTGAACGACAAAGGAAGGAGTTCAGGTAAATTAGCATTCTACTTATCTGATTTCGACGTTTATGACCTCGAGGAGGAGGGGGGTGGTATTTGACACATTTTTTGTGTAAAGCTTTAATAAGTTTGAATACA